CTGGCCGTGGAGCTCTGCGTGGGGCCGTGCCGCACCGTGGCGGTCGGCGCCGTGGTGCTGGCGGCCTCCTCCTGGGGCTCTCGCCAGCGTCCTCGTCCTCCTCCTTCGACCGCGCTTCGGGGTTCGCGGGAGGAGGAGGAGGAAGAGGAGGAGGAGGAGGAGGAGGAGGAGGAGGAGGAGGAGGAGGAGGAGGAGGAGCAGGAGCAGGAGCAGGAGGAGGAGGAGGAGCCAGCGTAAACAACTGCTCATGGAGCCGCGAAAAATTCCCGTCGTGCTCGGGTGCCGCCTGCCGTGGCAGACGGCGCCGACCATCCTGGTCGCGGCGCCTGGGCCGCAAGCTCAGCTGCGCGCTCGGCAACGGGGTCGCGCTGGCCTTGGCATGCGAACTGCTGGACGAAGGCCCCCCCCCTGCCCCTCTCGTCGTCCGCGTCGAGGGCCTCGACTTCGCGTGCGAACTCACCGAGGCCGGTGTGGCGAAGGCCTTCAGAAAAGTCGGGGACGTCCGCGCGGCGACCGGTGGCCCCGACGGCGCCGACGCCATCGTGCAGCTCGCGGGGCCGCGCGTGGCTGTGGCCGCGCGGGGCGTCCTCGACGGGCGGGAACTGGGCGCGTTGGAGGGCTCCCTCTTCCGCGTCGACCCCTGGCGCCCTTGGAGGGCGCGGCCTTCCCTTCGAGGCCTCGCTGCGCGGGAAGGCCACAAAGAACTCGCGCGAAGCTCTCTCGGCGCGCGGCCTGCCGCCTGGGCGGGAAGCCTGGGCCGACCCCCCTGGACGTGATCGCCGCCGCCGCGTGCGTCGGGGGCCGCGCGCGTCGGCGCGACGGCGGCAAGCCCACCCCGCCGCGGCTGCCGCGCCAGCGGCATCGCTCAGCAGGCGGTTGCTCGTCGGCCAGCCGCTGACTTACCGAATGAGTACGACTTCCTTACCTGACTATCGTGATGCTTTAAATGTCTGGTTCGTGGACTCACAGCAAGTGTGTGCGAACTTGTTGCATGTAATCGCCACTGGCCCGAATTGGATCATCAGATCTGAATTCTCCGTGTTGCAGATATAACCCCTAGTGTTCGGTCGAACGCACGCTGCCTTGCCTGCTTGGCTTTGCGGCAACCCGCAAGGGGGGGCGGGGTCATTTGCGCCGCTCGCCATTTTTTGCTTTCGTCAAGTCAACGTGCACGGACGATAGCGGGAACAAATCTGAGAACACACATCACTCATGTCTTCGGTCTTGGATACCATCGATGCAGTTTCCTGACGGGTGAAGACAATAGCCAAATAATAAGTGCAATCGTCGAGGTGCTTACAATGTACGCTAGAGGTACTTATGTGAAGGAGGCAGCGCGGTTGTTGAATAATGGATTGAGGAGTCTGTAAGGTAACGTTTCAAGATGCTGTTCCAAGTGCGGTGAGTCATGGGGTCCGTGACGGTTGTCAGTGCAGATATTAAGCAGGTCGCCGAGGCCTGCCAAGCATCGCGCATTGCGTGGTAGACCTGCGTGGTCCCGCTTCTCCACGAGGTACTCGGACGCCGCCTAGCCCCAAGAAGTTTACATCCGGCGTGGTCGGAACTTTAGATATCGCCTGCCTTCTGAGGTTGCGTGGTCAAGTCAAGTCACTGGTTCTGCTCATCGATGGGGCTCATAGCTCTAGCTTTACAGGCTGGCGCGGTCTTAAACTTACTCACTCGGCTCCCTAGTCATTGAGCGCATTGGATTATGGACTGGAGGTGTGATATTCGCTTCCGCGGTGTCCTCGTACTTGACGATGAGGAAGTGCTACTATTTTAAGGTGCAGTGGCGGTTCCAGATGTTCCCGCTGGTTTACCCCAGGTGCAGTTTCTCCTGGCAGTTTTTCTGCTGGTTTCGATATGTCGATGCCATCCTTTCGTTTTCAAGAATATATGTATGAATGTATATATATACCTATGAATGCTGCGTTCGCTGTGTCAAGATCCTGTTCGCCTCGGTGTATTCTGAGCCCCTGTAGTTCGCTTTCGACAACAGTTGCAGTGGATCCGACGAGCCTCGTGCACGTGAGTGTAGAGTTGCACGTGCTCGCCCAGAAAATCGGTTGGATGATCAAGAACCCGAATCGTGCTTGGATTTTCGACCGCGGACCTAAGCAGAAGAGTAACCTGCTCCAACGGCTCGATCAGTCGCCAACGCCGTTTGCGATACTTCGAGGTCAGTTGCTGAGTATGGAGACTCTCTAGGTGTCTCTCATTGGAGTTGGCTCGTGGACTTCAATTTATCGTAATTATGGGCTCCTGTTGGAAATGTTGAGGCTGCAAGACCCATCTCATATATTCGTTCGTTGGTCCACGCTGTTCCCCCTTTATCCTGCAATTGTTCAGGCTCGAAGGTCCGTAAGGTCACTGTATCACAGCCAGAAGCAAACAGGAATGGCCAAATCCACTGGCGGGCGTGGTCAGTAACAATCTCGCGGATACGGTGCTTGGCCGCCGACTTGGCAGTCGAAGAACAACGACCGCGATCGTGATCGGGATAGTGGCAAGAAGAATAAGAAGAAACATCATTCGAGCAACTCGAGCAATTCAGAAACGAAGAACCAGGCTAAAGTAGCCGAGAAAGTTATCTTGAAGCACAGCAAGCGCTACAAAAAGTTCGTGGAGTCCGAGACGGAGGCTGCACGCACCAAAGCGGCAGGGCAAGATCATCGCCGACGCGCTCGCCACGCAACTGTCCTCTACCTACCATCGCCGCCACCGCAGTGCAGGCCGGCACCCCCGCGGCCGTGGGGAGCGCCGCAGCGGCGCCCGCAGCGGCGCCCGCAACGGCAGCCCCGCCAGGCGGGCCGCATCCTTTCCCGCCGCCGCCCGCCGCCGTCTGTGGCGGCGCCGCTTGCTGCGCTGACGGCCTCCCGGCGTGCTTACATCGCCGCGGCGTGCAATCACGCTTTCAAGCTCGAGAACGGCGCGATGGAGGAGCTCAAGCATTATGCTGCTCCCATCGTACTTGCAAGCCACATGCCGGAAATGATTTCGAGCACCCCGAACAGTATCGAACCAGTGTCGAACGAGTATCGCCTCCCACGGCCCTCACAGGGGCCCGAAGTTCTTTATGGTGATCAAGGCTGAAATAGGTTGGGACATCTTACAGTGCGGGCGCGGCCGCAAGAAACCCTCGCCAGAAACCCAGCCCTGAAACCCGCAAGCGCGAGGTGCACCTGAGGGGGGACCTGGAGCACCCTGAACGCAGTAGCTCCTCCAACGGCTGCGGCGCGATAGAACGAAGTCACCGCGCAGCGCGAGGAGCGAAGAAACTCAGAACACCCTGACGCAAAGCATACGGTTTCTCGATGCGGGCCCCCACTGTAACTCAGGGAGAAGATCAACGAGACGCGGTGGAACGTCGGGGTTCCCACGGGCGCGTGGGCCGCACCATCCAGGACGTGGGGGGGGGGGGCGCGCCCCTGGGGCCCAGCGAGAGAGGAGCGGCACGCGCGTCGGGGTCGTCCAGGGACAGGGCCCGACTCGTCCTCGCCCCGGTCGAGTACAGAGGCCGCGTTTGTCGTTGTCACTGCGAGGGTGATCTGCTCTGTGGTCGCTCCTGGCAGTGCGTTCTATCTGGGGTATCGCTACGGGCATTCGGTTGCAGAGTGGGAGCTGTGCAGCAGCAGTATTGGCACCATGTTGGTTTCTTCCTTCACTGGATGGGGCAGTGCCCGTAGGAGCTGCGGTCATGGCAGCAGTTAAGAGCTTGGAGTCATCGTGAATCGAAGCATTAGGAGCCCGCAGTTTGCAGACCATGGGATCTGGAACATGAACTGCTCTGGCACTCGGGCGCGTGTGAGCAGAGAGTCTTCTCTCCAGATGGGTGCTGCCCTTGGTCTTTTGCAACTCCGTGGAGGGCCATCATCTCTACAATTTCCTTCGGGCTCAGGAGCCTCCACTGGCACAGACGCTCAACCGCGTGGGTTCGGTCTATACTATGCGTAGTGAAAAACATCGACCCGAAATCATCATCATCATCATCATCATCATCATCATCATCATCATCATCATCATCATCATCATCATCATCATCAACATCAACAGCATCATCATCAGCAGCATCATCATCAACAACACCATCACAACCATCATCATAATCATCATCACCATCATGATCACCCTCAATCATCATCCTCACCACGGGCCCCCCAGACCTGGAGGCACGAGGCGTCACATGTGACGGCCTCCCGTGCCCTCGAGCGCAATCGGCCCCCCAAAAAAACACCGGGCCGGCACGGTGGCGGGACGCATCCCGCAGGCAGCCGGAAACACACAAAGACGGGCCGCACCGATCTCGGCAGCGCGTCGCGCGGTGTCTTCGCGAGGCCCTGGGACGCCTGACTGGACGGCACGTGGAAGCGCAGGGCAATGCGCGAGGGTGTGCTCGCGTTGGCTGCCGCGCTCCAGCAGGCCCCGTGAGCAACGGCGGCCACTTTTGTTCACCGGTGCCCAAACCACTCATCCTGTCCATGCAGTGGGGGCCCGACCACAAGAAACCTTCCACAAGAAAGCCAGGCCTGAGACCCCAGGACGTCCATCGATTCTTGGTGGTGTGGGAAGGACACGCTCTCCATCGCAGAACCATCGAAACCCAAGAAACCCAGGGCACCCTGGAGGCGAGCAGGGTGTTTCTTGGCATGGGTCTCCACTGTAAGGGTGTACTCGCGCTGGCTGCCGCACTCCAACGGGCCCCGGGAGCAACGGCGGCCACTGTATGCAGCAGTGCCCAAACCACCCATCCCATCCATGGCCCGAGCGCGCAGAGAAAAAGCACAAAGGGCACTCACAGTCCTCTCGTCGTGCCCTTGAATCCAACGGCCTGCACACTGCTATCCTCAGGTTGCGCCGCGTCCGACGTCACACAACGCCCACGATGCTAGATAAGCTGGACCTACAATCTGAAGTAACCCTCGTCCTCGCCTTCTGCCACAAGATTCTCCAATACGATTTCTCTCCTGATTAATGACGAGCGCTTGCCCTCCCAGCCCTTCCTTCTGGGCCCCTTGGATGCGAAGCAGTGGTCCTGCGCGGTGCAATGGCAACGGGGCGTTTCGAAGGCCGAGAAGGGCTCATTGAACCTCAGAGGAAAAATGATTCCGCAGCGCTGCTGTGGGACGAGATCATTGGCTGCGGGACCAGCAAACCCTGCTCCAGTCGTCCATATTCCAGATATTAAGCCTCACCGACACCAGCCTCGGATGCACATCACAAGCCCGACAGCAATCACCATACGAGGACCGCGAAACACTGCCAACGAACAGCGATGCCTAATTTTCCAGGATCTGCTATTTTCAACGGCACAGAGGCTCTCCGAAGACATACCCCGAACAGAGCTCAGCGTCAGACCCCCACGGAGTCAACACACATAATCAGATGCGGGGATACCCCAAAACAGCAACGCCGCATGCGATCATACGATGGTGGATAAAGTGCAAGTTCGGCGGCAACTAATGGGAGCCTCCCATACCATCTTGTCGGCCAATCGACGCTGGTCGACGCTGATCGATGCTAAATCGACGCTAATCGACGCGAGTCGACAGAACTCGGCGCGCCAATTTAATTGACGCTAGTCGACGCTAAATCGACGCTCAATGGGCGCTATCTCACTGCCTCCCAGGAACTGATCGACGCCAATCGACGCCAATGACTTCCGTGAGTTGCGACCGCATGACGGTAGGTTCGTGTCGTCTCGACCCCTGGTCTCTGACACCGCGCCAGACCGCTCAACCTTGAACGATCGGCCGTCTCCGAAATGCCAGACCGTTCGGCACCGATCGATTCTGAGTCGCCGGCGGCGCTCCACGGGGAACGCTGGCGGCGAGGTCGCCGCCAGTCGGCACGACGCGAGCCTACCGTGCATGCAAACGTTTTCCTATTCGGCCTTTCGGCACTGGGCGGAATGGGTGGGGGAGGGGAGGGGTCTGGCTCGGGACCTTTGCTCAGTGCTTGGCGCGGGTGGCCCGCGCCGCAAGGCGCCAGGCACGTTACGGCACAGCACGTCGCGAGCACGGCCTGGCACGCCTGCCGCATTCTCTCGGGAACTGGGCACGGCCCACGACGGCCCGAAGGAGGCTCCCGAGACTGTCCAGGAGGCAATCGGCGGCGAGCGAGGGGGGAAGTGAGAAGGAGAAGGCCTTCTCGGAAGGCTCGGAACTCCCCTGGCCTTCCGAGAAGTTGTCTGAGCCTTCCCCCGAAGGCGCAGGAAACTAGAAGGCGCGGGGGCTTCTGAGAAGTCCCGCCGCCTTCTGAAAAGGCCTTCTTCTTCTCACTTCCCCCCTCGCTCGCCGCCGAGGCAAGCTCATTGAGCTTGAGTTCCCGTAGGTTTTCCAATGATTTCGGCGTTCTCGTGGGAGGCCACACGCGGACCCTACCCCACCACACCACGATTTCTGAGGGGGGGAGGTGGGGTCCACTTCGTTCGCGACCTCCCGAGCGAAGCGAACCCCACCTCCCCCCTTAGAAATCGTGGGGTGGTGGGGTAGGGTTCGCGCGTGACCACCCGTCTCGCCCTTTCGGGCTCCCGACGCTCCAAGGCGGCCCCACAAGCCCCCACTATCGCCGCAAGACGGCTCCACAGACCTACAAGACTGCCCTGAAGGGCCCAAACCGGAACCCACGACTGCCCAGAGAGCTCCCCAAGACGACCTCCGAAGGCCAAGATGCCCCTCAGAGATCCCTAGATGCCCATCAGAGGCCTCCGAGAGGCTCCCAGGAAGCCCCCGAGCGGCCCCAAGAGGGCCCCTCAAGATGCTTCCTCCTCCTCCTCCTCCTCCTCCTCCTCCTCCTCCTCCTCCTCCTCTCTCCTCCTCTCCCGCGTGCCCCTCTTCCTCCTCCTCCGCCTCCTCCTTCTCCTCCTCCTCCTCCTCCTCCTCCGCCTCCGCCTCCCCTCCTCCTCCTCCTCCCCCTCCTCCTCCTCCTCCTCCTCCTCCTCCTCCTCCTCCTCCTCCTCCTCCTCCTCCTCTCCTCCTCTCCCGCGTGCCCCTCCCCCCACGGGGCTCCGCAACGGCGGGGGAAGCCCACGGTCCGATCGGCCAGACTTTGGCGCCCAACACTTGGCCGCCTGGGCGCTCTTGTCGAGAGGCAGGGGGCTCTGCACGGTTTCCCCGGGGGCCGTAGGCGACCCGAGGAGGAGGAGGAGGAGGAGGAGGAGGAGGAGGAGGTGGAGGAGGGGGAGGGGGGAAGCGGAGATGGAGGAGGAGGAGGAGGAGGAGGAGGAGGGGAGGAGAAGGAGGAGGAGGTGGAGGAGGGGGGAGGCGGAGATGGAGGAGGAGGAGGAGGAGGAGGAGGAGGAGGAGGAGGAGGAGGAGGAGGAGGAGGAGGAGGACGGCGGTCGCCTAAGCCCTTCGGAGAAACCCTCCAGGGGGCTCGCCGCAGACCTCTCCGATAACATGCGCATGGGACGGCACGCCGGCAGGCGCACGACACCTCCTCCGCGGCCGAGGGCACGACAGCGCGGCACGAACCCCGCTCTGCGCGCTTCGGGAGCCCTCGGAGCGGCACGGCACGGCACGCGGGCACCGCGCAGCATCGCACCCTGGAGCCTACATCGGCGGTGGACAAACCTCCTTTTAGTAGACCTCCCCTTAGTGAAAACGGCCTAGGTTCCAACAAGGGGTTTTGGGGGAGGGTTTTTTTTCCAGGAGGGATTCCCCGGGGGCTTCGCACCCCCTGTTTTGACGAGGTTTTCCGAGGCCCGCGGGGGGGCCCTCTGGAAAATCCCCTCCCCCAAACCCTTCGGCGGTGGACAAACCTCCTTTTAGTAGACCTCCCCTTAGTGAAAACGGCCTGGGACCGAAACCGACAGACCTGGACCCGCAAAAGTGACGGCCGCGACGCCCTCTCACGAACCGAAAACGGCCAATTCCTTGATCGACGTGTCAGGGTAGGAGGTCTGTCCACCCCCGACTACAGTGGAGGCCCGACTACAGGAACCCCCTCCACAAGAACCCCAACCCTGAGGCCCCAAGACCTCCATTGCTCTTTGGCGTGGGAACGCCGCGCTCCCCATCGCAAAAAGCCATCGAAGCCCAATACACCCAGAGCACCCTGGAGGCAAGCAGGGTGCTTCTTGGCATGGGCCTCCACTGCAAGCGCGACACGAAACGCCAGCACGACACGGCACATGCTCCGCATCCTGGAGAAATAAAGCAGGGCACGGCACGACGAGGGCACAGCACGGCACACGTCTCGCATTCGGTGTCTCGGGCGCGTGCTCCCTCGCAGTGCAGTTCCGACGCCTTGCAGCGTTCGCTGTTCAGGGATTGGTGAACCACTGTTCTTCTTTTGGTTGCCTCCACCGCCCAGCCCGGCCAAGCAAGGCTGCTCGTGATGATGTTGGACGCATTCGCCCCCCTCCCCCCCGCTTCTGGTCAAGGCCCTCAGCCCTCAGCACGGCAGGGGCCGGGGTGCGTTAGTGTGAGGTGCCAGGGGGTGGCACGTCTGAGAGAGAGCATCGCCCCGCTGACTGCGGGGGCGACCGCCCGACAAGCGCCCCACCTGCAATGTTTTCTTCCTTTCCCTCTCCTCCTCCTCCTTCTCCTCCTCCTCCTCCTCGCTCTTGCCCTCCTCCTCCTCCTCCTTCTCCTCCTCCTCCTCGTCCTCCTCCCTCCTCCTCCTCGTCGTCCTCCTCCCTCCTCCTCGTGCCCCCCCTAGCCCTCTAACACGGATCTGGCGGAGGGCGTCCCAAATATTCACTCTTGGGCGAACCAGAAAACACATCGCAGAAAGAATCGGCATAACAACAGGACGAAAAGCAAGATGAGGAGGATAATGAACCTGGAGGCGAAGCGGGAGCTTTGGCGAGGACCCCCAGCGTGTCGCCCCACTGTGAGCCCCTGACAGAGCTGCTGCGCCGTCCAATCCTCGGACAAGGAGATGCCAACTGTGTATGTATGTTATCACGACCTTCCATCTGTTGCCGCCCCGAGCCCGTGCACGCCTGACCCACGTGTGTTTCCACTCTTTCCCAGCAGCTTGCGCTGCTGAGGGGGGCAGACGGTGAGGCAGGATGCAGACGAAGACGGCGACGACACGACGAACCGCGACATGGGGAGCCGTGTTGCACCCCGGAGGGGGTGGGTGCAACCCCTCCCCCCCTCCCAGGGTCGGGCCGGACGACATGCCAGGACAGCAGCGGGGGGTCCAGCTGTTGTTCTAGCGCTGGGAGGCTGGCCTGCATCGAGGACTACGACAAAGATAACGACGAAGATAACGATGACAACGACAACGATCGTTATCGTATTTATCGTTTTGATCGTTCTCGTTATCGTTGTCGCTGTTGTCGTTGTCGTTGTTGTCGTTGCCCAGCGGCGGAGCCGACACCTTCTGCAGATTCCGTGCCCCCCCGCTCTTGTCTGCCCTGGCCGAGGGGGGGTCGCAGGACAACGCGCCATACGCTGCAGCGTCTCCCCTTATCAGGAAACCACTCCTGGGAGGTAGGAAGTCTTCGCGGGAACGTTTTTTGTTTTGTTTTTTCTTTAAATGAACAGCCTGAGAGGTAGCCATTTCGGCAGAAATGATGACGCTGGATCAGGCCAGCTATCAACAACCCCCCTGGGAGGTAGGAAGTCTTCGTGTGATGGACAAAACACAAGGTCAACATAAACCGCACTCAAGGGGGCCATTACGGCAGAAATGGGCACATGACGCGGGATCAGGTCAGCTAAAAACAACTCCTGGGTGTTAGGATGTCTTCGCGGGAACGATTCAAAAACAAGGTTAGCATAAACCACATTCAAGCGAGTCCATCACGATAGAAATGGGCACATGACGCGGGATCAGGCCAGCTAAAACGACTACTGGGAGGCAGGACATCTTCGCGGGATCGATAAAACAAGGGTTCTTACAAACCACATGCAAGGGGGACATTTCGGCAGATATGGACATATGACGCTGGATCAGGCCAGCTTAAAACAACAAATCCTGGATCTTCGTGGGACAGAAACATGGTTCTCATAAGCCGCATCTAAGGGAGCCATTGCGGCAGACATGG